GGAGGAGGAGGAGGAGGAGGAGGAGGAGGAGGAGGGAGGAGAGAAGAGAGAGGGAGGAAGGGAGGGAGGAGGACAATGAAGGAGGACGGAGGAGAGAGGAGGGAGGGGAGGAGGGAGGGAGGCAGGGAGGGAGGGAGCCAGCTTGGCCGCCGCCGCTGCCCTCGCTCCGGCCGCTGCCGTCGCCGTCGCCGCCGCGGTGGTGGTCGTCGTCGTCACCGTCGTCGAAGGTGAACCCGATCCCGGATCTCTCGACCCATCCCCTCATTCGTTTGTTTTCCGTCCCTGGCCCCGTGGACCGGGAGCCCCCGAGGGGCGCCCGGCCCGCCCTAGGAGAGCCCGCCGCCGCCATCGCCATCGCCATCGCCATCGCCATCGTCATCGCCATCGCCATCGCCGTCGCCGCCGTCGTCGTCGCCGCCGTCGTCGTCGTCGTCGTCGTCGTCGTCGTCGTCGCCGTCGTCGTCGTCGCCGTCGTGGTCGTCGCCCTCCCGTTCCGCCCTGCGTGCGCGCCAGCACGAAGATGCATGTGCTCTAGCGTTCCGCCCGCCCGAGCCGATCCTCCCGCTCTGCGTGGTTGCGAGCACGAAGATACATCGTGTCTTCGTATCCCGCCGACACGACACGACCCTCCCGCGTGCCAAACACGAACATGGATCATATTTTTGTGTCGCCGCCCTCCCGACCCCACCGATTCTGGAGGGTGATTCGGCTTACCCATGGGTCGTTGAGAGTAGCTATTTTTGGAGCCCCAGATTTCAATCCACTTTAGGCGCCTTCCTAGTGGCTTCACCTTTTCCGTCCTCTTTGGGGGGCGGGCGGACACCTAATCTATTGTCAACGCCTTCCCACTTCATGTTTCTACCTACTTCTTCCGACCGATCGGTACCTTAGGCCTACTCCAGGCCTACCCTAGGCCTACCCCTAGGGCCTACCCCTGGGCCTACCCTAGGCCTACCCCTAGGGCCTACCCCAGGCCTACCCTTGGTCTACGCCTAGGGCCTACCTCTTGGCCTCCCCGAGGCCTACCCCTAGGGCCAAACCCCAGGCCATCCCTAGGCCCATAGGGCAGGGTTTCCTTAGGCTGTCCTAGGGCCTAGGGTAGGCCCTACTCCAGGCTACCGTAGGGTCTAGGGTAGGGCCTACCCAGCTACCCTAGAGCCTAGGGTAGGGCCTAAGGTAGCCTACCCCCTCCAGGATCTATATCTGACAACGACGACGACGACGACTGCCGACGAAGACGAGAAGCGGAAGGAGGACGCCCCCAAGAGCCGCCATTTTCCAGAACCGCCGTTCCGGAACACGTGTTGTGGACGTCGGCGACGAAACCGTAGACGATGTGGCTTCGGAGGGAGAAGGGGTAAAGGAAAGGGGTGAGGTACACTACAACAGACCTCTCCTTCAGCTTCTCAGTATCCGCCCGGAAATCAGACAGGCGTAGACAGTGGCCGTCGAGAAGACACCACGGGATAGGTCCCATGGATGCTGCTACCGTCTTCGGAGCCAACTAGAACCTCCGCGCGCGCGAAGCGCGCGCGGCTCTAGCGTACGCGTACCTCTCTCTCTCTCTCTTTCTCTATGTTTCTTTTTTTTCCCCCCCCCTCTCTCTCTCTCTTTTTTTTTTTTTTTCTCTCTCTCTCATCTCTCTTCTCTCGCTCTCTTCCTGTAAACATCGTGCAGGTAATCTTCTTTCTGTGCAGAAGTATACGTTGACTCCCCGCCGCCCTCTCTCTCTTTATGTTTCTCTCTCTCTCTCTCTCTCTTCTATACTCATGATGCAGGGTTTCTTTACTTAGCAGAAGTATAGTACCATTGGGCTCCCCTTCGCCCTCGACCCCCCCCCCGCCCGCGCCCCGCCCCCCAGCCCGCCCCCTCCCCGGGCCCCGGGGCCGCCCCGCGCGCGCCCAGTGGCGGCCTCGCCCCTCCGGCGGGCCCATGAGCGGCCTGGCCGCTCCGCGGGCGGCGCGCGCCCTGGCGCCGCGCCCCGCCGCGGCGGCGCGGACCGCCGCCGCCGCCGGGCCGCGCGCGCCCGCCGCGGCGCGGCCGCGGCCGCGGGCGCGGCCGCGGCGGCGGCGGCCAGGGCGCCTGGGCCGTGGGCCCCCGGGGTCCGAGGGGGGGGGGAACGGATTCGTCGAGGAGCGAGGCTCGAGGAGCGAGGGTTCAGTCGGGCGTGTCTCCCTGCAGGGGGATATTCGACTTCAAATTAAGAATACCCCAAACACGATACCCCAAAAATACCCCGAAAAGGTCAACAGCATATTTTTCGTCGAAGATCCCCCTGTAGGGGGACAGGCCATTGAAAGCGAGGGTCGAGGAGCGAGATTCGAGGAGCGAGGTGCAGGACATCGGCTGCAGAAGTCGAGGAGCGAGGTTCGAGGCTGTCGGGCGACATTTCTCGTCGCTTCCCGGCGGGTTGTCCAGCCTCGTTCCAGCAGCTCCTGCTCGCCGAGGGCGTGCTGGGGTGGCCCAGCTCGTATCTGGAGTGCCCGCTGGAGAGCCGAGTCATTACCCGAAAACCACACCCCATACCCCTGATTTCTTTTCTTTGAAGCTACCGGAGATGCGTAGAGTTCAGCAGAGGGGGGTCAGAGGGGGGACATAGCCGATTGGGGCGATCGAGACGGGTACGGAAAGAATAGGTACAACGACCGACAGCAGTTCCTGTTCATGTTGAACGTTGGGTTCGTTGTCGGCGTCGCCGCGCGCGTTGTCCCTTTGAGGCAGAGGGCCGCCTGCCCAACATCGGCCGCTGTCGGTTTTGGACAACATTAGTTGTTGGCTTCCGTGCTCATGTCTTCGTACCCATCTGGGGGCGTCCGAATTCTAGGTTTCCCACATGGGTTACGAGCAAAGTGGGTTTGAGGATCGCGCCGCGTCGTCGATCACTGATGCATCGCCGATGCGGCTCGATGTGGATCCCGATTTTCTCCATGCCGACGTCGCCGATGCATTCCCGACATCGCGGATGTATTACCGATACATCGCCGATGCATCGGCGATGCGGTGCGATCCGCCGACCCCGTCTACTCAGCTCACATTTGGGAGACCTCTAATATGGCGCTGCCGCCCCTGAGATCCAGCTGGGCGTTGCATGTTTTTCACAACGGATCCTTGTCACCAGGTTTCGTTGTCGCCACGTTTCGGGCCCCAGGGCCCTCACAGATCGATCCGACTCCAAACATCAAAAGAAACATCAAGGGCTCTGGTCGTGATTTTTCCGGTGGGTCGTGGGGGTTCGAAGAGGAACATGCGTTACCAGCCTGGAACATACCCTGGGCACCTCCTCATCACGATGCCAATCTTAGGGGTTCCCTCATTTTTTGAGGGCGACTCCCTGAGAGTGTCATCGCCTCTTGGCGTGTCAATCTTAGGGATAGGCATAAGTTCGAGGCTGGTCAACACCGTTGGCGTTGTAAGGATAGCGTGCTAGGTGGCGCCGCTGGCCTGCTCATTTCGCGCTATCCCCCTACCTTAGGGGATAGCGCGCACCGAAGAAGCCACGGCAGGGGCGACGGCGTGCACGGACACGGCGCTGGCGGGGGCATCGGGCTGACGTGCCTGGCAGAGATCGATGTCGTGCGCCATCTCTCCGGCGCCACCCTGCCGCTGCTGGTTCCGCCCGAGCACCCCTCGCGCGTGAGAAAAGTTGCGGCGGGAAGGTTTTTTCTAGTTCCCAGCCATCCAGTGGTGTTGGGTCCTCGTTTTGAAGAGACGGTGCCCCGCGTTCCTTCCTCCTTCCTCCTCCTCCTCCTCCTTTTCTCCTCCCCTTCTCCTCCTCCTCCTCCTCCTCCTCTCCTCTCCTCTCCTCCTCCTCCCTCCACCGCCTCCTCCCCTTCTCCTCCTCCTCCTCTCCGCGTCCGCGCCACCAATTTCGGCACACCCCTCACACGGTTCGCGGCCCCATAGGGAGCTCCACCGAAGGCCCCAGCGGGAGGGCCCGCATGGCACCACCGCCCCATTTCGGCATACCCATCACACGGTTCGTGGCCCCATAGGGAGCTCCACCGAAGGCCCCAATTGGAGGGTCCGCATGGCACCACCGCCCCATTTCGGCGCACCCGTCGCCCAGTTCGTGGCCCCACAGGGAGCTCCACCGAAGGCCCCACTGGGAGGGTCCGCATTGCACCACCGCCCCATTTCGGCACACCCCTCGCCCGGTTCGTGGCCCCATAGGGAGCTCCACCGAAGGCCCCAGTGGGAGGGTCCTCATGGCACCACCGCCCCATTTCGGCACACCCGTCGCCCGGTTCGTGGCCCCATAGGGAGCAGGGTCCGCATGGCACCATCGCCCCATTTCGGCACACCCGTCGCACGGTTTGTGGCCCCACAGGGAGCTAGCTCCACCGAAGGCCCCACTGGGAGGGTCCGCATGGCACCACCGCCTCATTTCGGCACACACCCGTCACAAGTTTCGTGGCCCCACAAGGATCTCCACCAAAGGCTCCTTTTGGAGGGTCCGCATGGCACCACCGCCCCATTTCGGCACACCCCATCACACGTTTCGTGTCCCCATATGGAGCTCCACCGAAGGCCCCAGCGGGAGGGCCCGCATGGCACCACCGCCCCATTTCGGCATACCCATCAAACGGTTCGTGGCCCCATAGGGAGCTCCATTGACGGCTTCCGTGGATGGGTCCGCATGGCACCACAGCTCTGCCTAGCGCGTCGCTCGCCCCCGTCGTCGTTCTGCCCAGCGGCCACAGCCTTGCCCGCTATCAGCCAGCCTGCTAGCTCTCTCTGCTCCGCGCAACGGGCGACCCGCGCGCGTCGCCGGGACCCCTTCGGGGCGACCAGCGCGCGTCGCGGGGACTCCGTGCGGCGCCGCGCCCGCAGCCGTGGACATGGGCGTGCACGGGCAAGGAGGGAGACAAAGAACGGGAAAGAAGCGGGCGCGATCTTCGTGAGGGGCGTGCTGATATGGGCGTCGACATTAGTGTACGTAGACACGCGTGCGCAGACTCATCCACAGTCAGACTCATTCGTGCTCACACTCACCCGCTCTCAGTCTCTCGCACGCATACCTATCGTCTTCGCACGCGTTGTGCTCCCCGCCACCCATCCGGCGCGCCCCGCGCACGGTCCGTGGCCCCATAAGCGCGGGCGAACATGAGATTCACAATTGCGGAATTCACAAGTGCGCATGTTTGGGTCCTTCGCCCGGCAATTTTTTGGCTTCTGGGGGACCGGGCTCGGCCTCGGGATTGGACCGTCCAAAGACGACTCGCGGATGAAGACGCCGGCCCCGCGGAAAGGGGCCAGACCTGTGGGGGCCCACGCCGTGAGAAAAGCTCTCGTGGCCTCGGGGGTGTCAAGGCTCGTCGCCGCGGCCGCGGTCCGGTCGCTTCGAAGTCCTGGTCAGGACGCAGCCCGCGAGAGGTTTGGGGAAATCTAGGCGTCCCAGATGGGGTCGGAGTAGATGGGGTCGGAGGATCGCACCGCATCGCCGATGCATATTCACTGCGGCTCGATGTGGAGCCATATTCTTTCCGCGCCGATGACGCAGATGCATCGCCGACGTCGGTCGTGCATCGCCGATGCATCGCCAATGCATCGCCGATGCATCGGCGATGCGGCTGTATCTTGCGTCCCCATTTATTCGGAACCCATCCAGGAGGCCTCTGGGAAAGGCGGTGTGGGGATCGTTTTGCTTCCCCAGGGTGGCGCCGTGTCCTCTGCGGCGCCGGCGGCGCCGGCGCGGCCCCCCGCGGTGCCTCGGGCGTGGAGGGTCGGTGTGGTCGAGACGAGTACGGAGGGAGTGGGTGGCGAAGGCTGGCAGCAGTTCTTGTGCATTTTGACCGGGCTCTGTGTTGGCGTTGCCGCGGGCGTCGTGCACTCGAGACAAGAGACCGCCTGCCTAACACTCGGGAGAACGTAAGGCTCGAGTTCGCCAAAGCTCGGGTTTGCCGACGCCCGTCATGAAATTTGACCGTCCAGCTTCCGTGGGATGTTTGCAGCGGGAGCTTTCGTCAGATTGTAGGCGGGTCTCGTCGTTCTCTTGACGCCCCCATCAGGTTCACCCGAATCCCTCGAACCTAGGTCTTACGTCTCCACGACAACAGCGGCCGCTGTCGGTTTTGGGCGACATTTGCTTTTGGACATCGTGCCAATTTGTTTCGCATCCATGTCGGGCGGCGAAAGAGGCGGGCCAGGTGTCTTTTCGCACATCCCGCGGAGACTTCCGTGCATGTCCAGTACTTTCCGCAGCGTGTGGTGTGCATGCTTTTAGCAGTCCAGTGGTGCCGATGGGCCGCCGTAGCCACGCGAAGTAAAACCGCACATATTCTGACTGCACTGGTTCTCAAAGGTGTTTCTGGATCAGCGCTGCTTCTCTTCAGGGAGGCAGTCGAGTGAAGGAACATGGGGACCACGACCAAGATGTCGCGTGATCTTGTCGATGCCGATATTGGTCATGGTCTCTATGCCAGCCGCCAGTTCGCGAGGATGATCCACATATTGACGCTGACCAAGATCGACGGTGGCCGAGGCGCTGATCGTCGTTTTCTGTTTTGGATACGCCTCCCTGTGCCGCCCTTCCGAGCTTTTTCTGTTTTTGCGAGCGTCGATGTGGAATGGACCGCGCGAAGGGCAGGAGCGGCGGCAGTGACAGCCGCAGTGACCACGATCGACGGTGACCAAGATCGAAACGATGTTATCGGTCGCAAATCATGGGAGTCTGGTATACTTTCTTAATTCCGTCTTTAGCGTCGACTAGCGTCGATTAGCGTCTGGGAGTCGGCGAGACAGCGCCGATTTAGCGTCGGCTAGCGTCAACTAGCGTCGATTCAGCGTCGATTAGCGTCGGTTTAGCGTCGACTAGCGTGAGCCCACAAGGTGGTATGGGAGGCTCCCATGAGTTGCCACCGAAAACGATGATCACGATCGATGGTGACCAAGATCGACACGGTGTTCTTGCACACTCCGTCCTGGTCTGGGTCCCCCCCTCCCGGTGAGGCTCGTGCCTCCCGCGCGCCCCGGGGCGGGTCAGACCTTTCTGGGCTCGGCGCAGCCGCGCGCGCTGCAGCGCGGCGGGGTCAGTCTAGATCTCCCGGAGGGAGTCCGAGCAGGTGGGGTCGGAGGATCGCACCGCATCGCCGATGCCTCGCCGATGCGGCTCGATGTCAGGTCCGATTTTCTCCACGCCGCTGTCGCCGATGCGTCGCCGACAGCCGGCACCCCGTGGGGCGGGGCAGTCGAGAGGACCGCTGTGCGCCAAGCGCCGGATGTCAGTGAAAGGGTTCGGAAGGGGGCAAGGGTGCGACATCCGCTGCTTGCATTATTGCAGCTGCTTTCGGCGCAAGAGGAGGAAGAGAAGGCGGCGGTGGTGGTGTGGTGGAGGAGGGAGGAGAGAGGAGGCGGAGGAGAGGGAGGGGTAGGAGGAGGGAGGAGAGGAGAGGGAGGAGGAGGGGAGAGGAGGAGGAGGAGGAGGAGAGGAGGAGGAGAGGGGGAGGAGGAAGAGGAGGGGGGAGATGGGCGTCGCCGATGCATCGCTGACGTTGCCGATGCACCGCCGAGGTGGCGGCGGTGCGGTGCCACCCTGCGACCCCAGCTGCTCGGACCCCATCCGGGATGCCTCAAGCAGCGCCACCGAGGGAGGGGGGGCTCACCACAAGGCGTTCGCGAGCTCCTGGCGTTCGCGACGATTGGGGAGGAGGGAGGATCGAGGGTCGAAGAGGGAGGATCGAGGATCGAGGAGGAGGGAGGGTCGAGGATGCGGGAGGATCGAGGAGGGAGGAGCGAGAAGGAGGGAGGATCGAGGAGGAGGGAGGATCGAGGACCGATGAGGTTCGCGACGCCTCCGGGCGTCCTCGGGGGAGCGTCCCCGGGGGGGTCGTTCTCGGGGCGACGCTTCCTCGGCGAGGCGGCGAGCCCCCCCTCGGCTGGTGACCCCCCTCCTCCTCCTCTCCTCCTCCTGCTCCTCCTCAACTCCTCCACCTCCTCCTCCTCCTCCTCCTCCTCCTCCTCCTCCTCCTCCTCCTCCTCCCCATGGCGCGGCCTGGACGCGGCTCGGGAGGAGAGAAGCTGACCTTCGGGCAGGCCCCTCGCAGGTCCCCAGGCCCCTCCCAGCAGAGGGCTCGGCCCCGCGAGGGTTTTTGTTGTGGCGACCTCGGGGGCCCCCTGTTTTGCTTCTCCGCTCCGTCCTGCGGCGAGGGCGGGGGCGAAGACGGCGCGGGGAGCGCCGCGCGAACACGCGCAGCAGCGCCGTGGTCGAGCCCTGCCGCCCAGCCCCGACCCCCCGAAGCCCCGAAGTCTCGCGTGCGCCCTGGGCCGATCCAGCGTGCGGGCAGGGCCCTCCAGAACTGTGGACCTGTGTGGGCTGCTGCGGCCTCGATCGGAATCTAGGCGTCGAGGTCCTGGTGGCATTTTCAGGGGCCACGATAGGGGGGGGGATAGGCATAGGGGGGGAAGCATCGACCCCCAATCACCCATGGATCGCCGATAGGGGCCCGATAGCCCCAGCCTGTCCAGGAAGGTGCGGATTCACCATCGGAGGCCCATCGCCGATCTATCGGCGACGTACCGCCGATTCCAGGTCGATGCATCCCCCCCTTATGCCAGTGCCCCCCTATCGTTGCCCCTCATATGTTTAGCCCTCCTGGACGGTCAGGGAGGGCCTCAGTCCCTCGCGCCCAGGTGCCGCAGCAGCTGCCGCTGGAGGAGCTGACCGCCCTGGTGGGGCGCCTGAAGGCGGAGGCGCCCAAGGACGGGCGACGAGAGCCGCGCTCGTGCACCGACCCTGGCCGGGTCCATCCCGGGCCCAGGATCGGCGTATACTCCAGATTTCGTAATGAAAGGGAGGGGGTCAGGATCCTCCAAGACAAGCCATTTCAGACCTCCCCCGTGGGAGAACCCTCCAAAACATCGAGACCCCCCTCCCTTTATTACGAAATCTGGAGTACGCCTTCGCTCAAGGGCATACAGAAAACGCCCCCACCCTGGTCTACGAGGCGCTGTGCGCTGAAGCTCCTGTGGGCCGACATGGTCAAACCCTGCGTGCTGTGCCGCGTGCTGGCGGCCCTAGGCTTTTTGGGGGCTCCCAGGAGGGTTACAGACCACGCCCTTGTAACCCAGGGTAGGGCCGTTTTTTCATCCCTCGATTCCCAGATCTCCGACGATCTGATTTTGCTTTGAATCCCAGCGCTGCTCCTTCACGTCGGCCTCCGGGGCCCAGCTGTTCGTCCCCGGGGCCAGCAGACGCAGATCCGGGCCGAGAAGAGTACTCCCAAGGCGGGCATGTCCTTCTACAGGAGGAATGTCCAAAATCATCAAGACATAGTCTGAGGGAGACTGTTCTAGCAGGTTGGATTGTTTTTGATGACTATTTGTGAGTAGTTCTTTAGTTTTCTTCTAAATCCGCCTGTAGGGGGACATGCCCGACCTGAGCCTACTCCCAAGGAAGGGGGGGCCGCAGATGGAGCAACTCATACATCGCAGGATGTCTGGGCCCCTGGCCTCTAGCCGCGAGGTCGTGCGCATCGATCCTGGGCTCGGGTGCGGGGCTAGGACTAAGTCGGGCGTGTCCCGCTACAGGAGGAATCTTCAACCATAGTCAAAAAAATAGCCAGGGGCCGATGTTTGGGACTATCATGTTTGGCTATTTTGCAGCACTTCTTGACGTATTAATTTTTTTCTGCCAAAATCCGCCTCCAGGGGGACATGCCCGACCTAAGGCTAGAACCGGCGTGTGCAGGGGCCTCCCGCGGTTCGGCCGGTTCGGCCGCGTCGCAGCCGGCTGCGCGCTCGGTCTGTCCGGTGCGGTCGGTTGCCGCGCCGCTGCGCATTCTCCGGGCTGCCTGGGGCCTGTCGGTGTCAGCCGGCTTCGGCATTTCTCACCACCCACCAAACCACCCCAACCCAACCCGAAGGCCCCAATTTACCCTCGATTTCCAGTGGGGGGGGGGGTCGGGAAACATCGAAAAAACACATGTGGAACCCTTACCCCCCCCAACCCTAAATTCGGGTCTTCGGGTTGGGTTGGGGTGGTCTGGTAGGTAGTCAATTTCAGTGTCGGTGCGGTGGTTTGGCAGTGCTGTCGCCTCGGACGGCCTTCCCAAGAGTCAAGACGCCGAAGTGAGGGCCACCTTGGGCTGAGGAGAGGCTCCGGTTTTCGGGTCGTTGCTTGGATCAAGGTCGAGAACATATTCGTGGCCGAGGCTAGGCCGTGGCAAGAAAAGCTCATTCGCTTCTCATTCAGCGCTCCTCCCGATGGCACGATGACGTGTCTGTGTGTGTGTGTGTGTGTGTGTGTGTGTGTGTGTGTGTGTGTGTGTGTGGGGGCGCAGTGCTCGTCCCTTCGAGAGGAGGCTCACGACTGGATGGTCGAGACGCTGGGGACGCTCAAGGTGCAGCACCGCGAGCGGGAGGCGCTATTGAAGCGCAGCTGGAGCGACGCGGCGTTCGAGGAGGGCGAGGCCGGCAACGACAAGGCTGCGCCGCCAGAATACGTAGCACCCAGCCAGGAGGAGGAGGAGGAGGAGGAGGAGGAGGAGGAGCAGGAGGAGGAGGAGCAGGAGGAGCAGGAGGAGGAGGAGGAGCAGGAGGAGGAGGAGGAGGAGCAGGAGGAGGAGGAAGAGGAGGAGGAGGAGGAGGAGGAGGAGGAGGAGGAGGAGGTCTCTGACTCGAGTCGGTCGCGCTAAGATTGGGATACTTTTCCTCAAGGGGACCCCAGGGGCCGCCCCGCGATGAGAGAGGGGTCGGCAAACACTGCCCACCTGCATTGCCCCCCCGTGCTGTCCACAGGGCATTGCCCCAGCTGCGCTGCCCCCATGGTTCGCTCCCGCGTGCTGCTCCCAGGCATCGCTCCCATGTGTTGACCCCAGGTGTTGCCCCCATGCATTGCCCCCGCGCAGCGCCCCCCCTGTGAGCGACGAAAAAAGGGGAACGAAACATGACAGAAGCATAAAAACTCGGAGGTCCGCGCGGAGTTCTCGGATCCGCGCTGGACCCCCCTCCCTGGCGCGCGGAGCGCGCCAGGGGCGGCGCCGGAGGCGCCGCCAAATGTTTCCAGCGCGGACTTCCGAGAACTCCGCGCGGACCTCCGAGCTTTTGTGTTTATGCCACCTTTTGTTCCCCTCAATGTGAGCGACGAAAAAACAGGGGGGGCCGTCTGCGCGGACACCCGTCGCGCAAGCTGCCCCTCAGAAGTCGTGGGGGGCCAGGGGTAGGGTTCGCATGTGGCCCCAGATTGCAAAAAAAACCCAAGGATGGATTGCAAAAAAACCAAGGATTGCAAAAAAACCAGGACTGCAAAATCAAAAAAATTGCAAAAAGGGTTTTTTTGCAATCCAGGTTTTTTTTTTTTGCAATCAGCAGTGCCCCCGTGTGAGCGACCAAAAAACGGGGGGCCGTCTGCGCGGACGCCCGGCGCGCAGGCGGCCCCCCGCGTCAGAGGTCGCGCGTCGGCGCGCCCCTCGTCTCCAGGTGCCGCTCCCCCTGCGCGGGCGGCCCCCGCGCAGGGAGGCGCCGCGCGAGGGCTCGGCCGCGCGCAGAAGGGGGGGGGGCAGAGGGAGGGGGGAAGGCTTCGTCGTCGTCGTCCTCCTCCTCCTCCTCCTCCTCCTCCTCCACGCTCCTCCTCCTCCTCCTCCTCCTCCTCCACGCTCTTCCACGCTCCTCCTCCTCCTCCTCCTCCTCCTCCTCCTCCTCCTCCTCCTCCTCCTCTCCCCTCCTCCAGGCAGGGTCGTTGTGCCATCTCGCGTCAGACCCGTTTCGTTCGGAGGTGGACCGACCTCCTACCCTGACACGTCGATTAGGGAATTGACCGTCTTCGGTTCGCGAGGGGGCGTCGCGGCCGTCACTTCTGCGGGTCCAGGTCCGTCGGTTTCGGTCCCAGGCCGTTTTCACTAAGGTGAGGTTTACTAAAGGGAGGTTTGTCCACCGCCGATAGAAGCACCCCTACTTCTTAGAAGGCGCGGGCCTTCTCTGTAGATGTAGGGCCCGCGCCTTCTGAGAAGCAGCCTCCTTCTAAGAAGCCTTCCCCCCTCCCCCTGCCCCCCTCTGCGCGCCGCCAAGAAGTCGCCACGCCATCTCTAGGGGAACGCACAATGACATGAACGTAAATAACTCGGAGGTCCGCGCGGATTTCTCGGATCGGCGCTGGGGCCTCCTGGCGGCCCCCCTGGCGCCGCCCCTGGCGCGCTCCGCGCGCCAGGGAGGGGTTTCGAGCGCCGATCCGAGAAATCCGCGCGGACCTCCGAGTTATTACATTTCTGTCATTCTTCGTTCCCCTAGTTCGACCGCTCGCCCCCCCACCTTCTGATACCGTCGGACGCCGAGGTATGAGATCGAGGTCGCTTCGGGGAGGGCACCCTCACGTTCTTCGTGCTCATTGCATGCTCTTTTTCAGCGAGCGAAGAACGGTATAACATAAACTTTTTCGCCGTCGGGGACACCTGCCCCTGGGCGGCTGGAAAGTTTATACCCCTACGGTGCCACCGTAAGGGCAAGCGCACCCGCGTGCGAGCGCACCCGCGTGTGCCCGCGTCCTCCTCCTCCTCCTCCGCCTCCTCCTCTCCTCCTCCTCCTCCTCCTCCTCCCTCCTCCTCCTCCTCGTCCTCCTCCTCCTCCTCCCTCCTCCTCCTCCTCTCCCGTCCCCTCCTCCTCCTCGTCTCGTCCTCCTCCTCCTCCTCCTCCTCGTCCTCGTCCTCGCTCCTCCTCCTCCCTCCCCCTTCCCCCTCCTCCACGCTCCCTCCACGCTCCGCTCTTCCTCCTCTCCTCCTCCTCCTCCTCCTCGTCCTCCTCCTCGTCCTCCTCCTCCTCCTCCTCCTCCTCCTCCTCCTCCTCCTCCTCCCCCCCTCCTCCTCCTCCTCCTCCCCCCTCCTCCTCCCCTCTCCTCCTCTCCTACATCCCTCCTACTCCTCCTCCTCCTCCTCCTCCTCCTCCTCCTCCTCCTCTCCCGTCCCCCCGTCGCCTCGTCCCTCTCCCCTCGGGGGGGATCCTGCGGCAGGGCTGCGGCAGCCCCCCGGGGGGTCACGGAGTGCTCCCGCCGGCGCGAAGAGGTCATCGAGGGCTTCGAGCTCGAGCTCGTGACGATGCTGAGGGAGTCCAAGAAGGGCCTCCGGGACGGCGTGGTCCTCCAGGGAGGAGGAGGAGGAGGAGGAGGAGGAGGAGGAGGAGGAGGAGGAGGAGGAGGAGAGGAGGAGGAGGAAGGAGGAGGAGGAGGAGGAGGAGGAGGAGGAGGAGGAAGGGGAGGAGGAGGAGGGGGCAAGTGTCGGAGCTCCGAGGCTCGAGGGCCCCCTCGGCTTCGAGGTCCGAGCTCTTTCGGGGGCGCGTGGGTGGCCCGTGCTGGGCCGGCTGTCCGTCTCGACGTTCACGAGCTCGAGCTCGTGACGATGCTGAGGGAGAAACACACACTCGCACGCGCATACCCTGGTGCGTTGTGGCGATGCCCCTCTCCTCTGGCCTGCCCCCTCCCGTCGGAAGGCCCCGAGCGGCGTGTAGTGACCACACCGTCGGGCGTGTCAGTGAGGATCAGGGTTAGAAAGTCCAGGGTTCGCTGGGGATTGGTTTCCTTTTTTCAAAAAGGGGGCACCCTCCGAAAACCCTCGGGGAAGGGCTCCCAGAGGCTTTTCAGAGGGTTTTGAAAGGGTTCTCGTGGTGGGAAACCAGTCCCTCGCGAACCCTGGGCTTTCTAAGATCAGGGGTGCGAGCACGGTTTGGGGACCCGGGCCGCTCTCCGAGGAAGTCTCAGGCGACGGGGGCCTCCGAGGTCCGCCAACGCCGTGCGGCGACGGGCCGAACGGTGAGGTCTCTTCGGATCACTGCACGGTCTGTAACCACACCTTTTTTGGGGGCCCCCAGCTCTGGACCTCCTCTGAGACGAGCACGATGCCATGACAGGACTGGCTCAGGGTGCGTTCCAGGTTGCGGCCCCCGGTTTTGCTGCCCGTGTGGAACAGATGGAGTCGGAGTAGCAAGAGGTCATGATGATAATAATCAAACAATCATGCTTCAAGCTTTCCAGGATTTCCAGACATTCCGGAGGTTCCCTAGGCGCTGCAGAAACGAGGCTGCTAGAGATTCTGGAAATCCTGAAACGTATCCTGGGCCTGTCCTATCATTCGGAGGTGGACAGAGACCCCAACAGTGACACGTCGATTAGTGAATTGTCCGTTTTCGGTTCTCGAAAGGGCGCCGTGTCCGTTATTTTCCAGGCTTGCGCCCGCCAGGTTTAGGCCTCGGGTTGTTTTCACTAAACCACGTTTTACTAAAGGGGGGTCTGTCCAACCCCGAATCATGACTTGAATTCCCGGTCTGGAGGACTTGGGCATCCTGGCAATCTTGGACATCCGGGACCGTGCCATTCTCATGGGGCGGCGGCAAGGGGGCGGGGCGGCAACGGGGCGGCAGTGTACATGTGTACATGTACACACATAGATAGATGTGTGCATGTGTATGCATGCATGCATTTCTGTCTGTGCATGTACATTTCTATATATAAACATATGCATGCATGTTTGTAGACAGTGTAATGTAATGTATTGTGATATTATGTAATGTAGTGTAATGCAATGTAATGTATTGTAATGTAGTGTACTGTATCAGTGTAGTGACATGCCATATCATGACATACGATGTAATGTAATGTAAAGTAGTGTAGTGTAGTGTAATGTAATGTAATGTAATGTCGTGTAAGGTCGTGTAATGCAATGCATTGTAATGTAATGTCATGTAATATAATGTATTGTATTGTAATGTAATGTAATGTAATGTAATGTAATGTAATATAATGTAATGTAAGGGTATGTAAGGGTATGTATGTATGTATGCATGCATGCATACATGCATGCATGCATGTACGTATGCATATATGGGTGTACATGTGCATGTCTGTGTAAATGTATAAGTATCGACATGCATGTACGTTTACATGCACGGACACATGCATGTCTGCAGGGGTGCATATTCATGTATATGCGCATATATGCATGTACATATATATATATATGAATATTATTATAATATATATATATATATATATATATAATATATATATATATTCTATATACTTAAATATGTATATGTATGCATTTGTATTCACATACCCGCATACATACATACATACACACATACACACATACATAAATGCATACATACATGCTTACACACAACCATCCATCCATCCATCCATCCGTCCATCCGTACATACGTACATGCACGCATGCATGTATGTATGCATGCATGCATGCATGTATGTATATGTATGTATGTATGTATGTATGTATGTATGTATCTATGTATGTATGTATGTATGTATGTATGGATGGATGGATGGATGGATGGATGGATGGATGGATGTATGTATGTATGTATGTATGTATATATAGATATATGTATGGATGTATGCATGTATGCATGTACACATTTATATCCCCGTGCACGAGGCCCAGACGCCCGGGGCCCGGGCCACGAGGGGGCAACGGAGTTCTAGAGTTTCCCAGACCGCTCCCAGAACATCCCGGAGCGGACCTGGAGACTGCCGCAGAGATCTCCCAGAAGCCCTCGGGGACTTCGACAAGCCCCTCCAAGACAGCCCAGATAGCCCCAACGTGGTCCAACATGGGTTCCGGACCGGAAATACACAGCCCAAGAGGCCTCCAAGAGGCTTCCAGAGACTTCCGAGAGGCTTCTCGAGAGAGCCCGAAGAGGCCCAAATCCTTGATTTTCATTTTTTTGTTCATCTGTCTTTGGGTGTCTCGCGTTTTCGACCTTCCGACGCTCCACCTCAGCCGACGCCGCCCCCAAGGCCGCTCCAAGACAGCCGAAGAGGCCCCCAACAGAGCCACAAGACTGCCCCAGGGAGCCCGAAAATTGCCCAGGACGAGCCTCAGACGGCCCAAGAGAGCCCCATGACAGGCCCAAGCAGGGCCCCAGAGCGGGAGCGGGAGCCCCCCAGGCGCTCCAAGACGGCCCTGATGGCCCCAACCGGGCTCCAGATGGGCCCAACACGGCCAATACACAGCCCAAGAGCCCTCCAAGAGGCCCAAGAGAGTTCCGAGATGCGCCCCGAGAGAGCCCGAAGAGGCCCAGATCCTTCATTCCCGGTTGTTTTCGGTTGTTTTTTCCAATATTGTTTGCTTTCTCGCGTTCTCGGGCTTCCAATGCTCAAAGACGGCCGCAGACGCCCCGAAGATCGCCCCGAGACCGCCGAAGAGGCCCCAAAAAGAGCCCCAAGACGGCCCAGGAGAGCCTGAAGACTGCCCAAGAGCAGCCCAAGACTGCCCAAGAGACCTCCAGGACAGGCCCAAGCTTGTCCACAGAGCGGCAGCGGGAGGCCGAAGAGGCCAAGAGGCCTCCAAGAGGGCTCAAGAGAGCTCCGAGAGACGCCCCGAGATTGGCCCAAATCATTGATATGCACTGGTTTGTTCGATGTTTTTCGCTTTCTCGCGCTCTCGACATTCCGATGCTCGAAGACGGCAGAAGACGCCCCCAAGACCGCCCCAAGACCGTCGGAGAGGTACACAAACGACCCCCAAAACGGCCCCAGCGATCCCGAAAATTATCCAGCTATTCGAGTCGCCGTCTGGCATGGATGCTGGCCTGTCTCTCTTTGTAAACGATGCTCCGGGAAGCGCGGCCTCTTCAGCATTATATATATATATATATATATATATAGATAAAGCGAACATCACATCGAGCTCTCTTGCAATTCCCATGGAGGGCGCAAGTGGACTAGTATCGCCACGCCTTATCCTGTCCATTTTGCTTCCGCTGCCGCGGCATGTACGGCTGATGCCGCTTAAGCTTCAGAAAAACTCGAAGAACGCACCGCCTTTTTAGGGGGCCTGTGGTGCGGCCATACCTGTCCATACCTGTCTGCTGCCTGTCCGCTGCGCCTGACCTCCCAGCCTTCTCCTATCGCAGTCTGCTTCTCGCTGTTCCGTGGCGGCCCCGACGCCGGTGCCTCCGCGCTCGCCTCGCGATGCAGAAGACATCACCTGGTCGGTGTAGAGAGCGCCCGGGCTGACTGCGTTCACCACTTTCAGCCGAGTGGTGTCGCAGCTGGCCGCGCGGGGACGAAGGTTCCGTCCTCCTTGAGGCTCCCTCCCGCCTTTTTTTCCTTTGCCCGCTTTCGGTCGGGTGTCTGCCGCTTGCCCGCTGCGCCTGACCTTCCAGCCTTCTCCTATCGCAGTCTGCTTCTCGCTGTTCCGTGGCGGCCCCGACGCCGGTGCCTCCGCGCTCGCCTCACGATGCAGAAGACATCACCTGGTCGGTGTAGAGAGCGCCAAGGCTGTATAGATATTTTTATATGTAAATGTGTGTGTATATATATATATATATATGTATATCTGTATGCGGCGGTGGGATCTATACAGATCCCCTGCCCCAGGCCTCGCCCAGGCCTGGCGCCCAGGAGCGGTGTAGATGCCTCCGTGGTCACGCCAGAAGGGCACGCACACACACCGCTCCCTGGGGCCCAGGCTTGGGCCAGCCCCGGGGGCAGTGAACATGCGCCCATCGGTCGTTGAAAGAAGGTTTTTTTTTAGGGGAAAGAAGAATAACATGAACACAACAACTCGGAGGTCCGCGCGATGTTCTCGGATCGGCGCTGGGGCCCTCCTGGCGGCGCCTCCGGCGCCGCCCCTGGCGCGCGGAGCGCGCCAGGGAGGGGGGTCCAGCGCAGATCCGAGAAATCCGCGCGGATCTCCGAGTTTATGTGTTCATGCCATTTTTTCGTTCCCATAGTTTCGGATTTCCAGATCCCAATCTACTTGAAGCGCCTTCCCACTTCAGTGATCGAGTGGCTTCACCTTTTCTGTCCTCCTTAGGGGGTGGGGCGGACGGGACCCAATATATTTTACAACGCCTTCCTGCTTCATGTCCCACCGCCCTAACAAACGTTGGGCGATCGAGCATTGCAGGAACGTGGCCGTGCCGCCGTTGGCGTGGAAAACGCCCATCCAAAGATGTTGCGTCGAAGGGGCCACCCCCGAACACCACATTTCGAGGTTGCCCTCGCGGCCGCAGTTGTGCAGTCGTCGGCATTGTAAACGCCCGTGGCCCAACTCCGCAGACGCCCGTCAACATTGAAATGGGGGGCGCAGAGGTTCTCAGCGCACGGGCGTGGGCAGTATCTCTGAGAGAAGGGTGCATTTTACGCCAACAGCGGTAACGGGACTCTGCACGGCCTTGAGCTGCAGCCGAGGTGCACGACAGGTGGACGCTTCTGCACCCCCAGTACCCTGACCTTCTGGGAGGGCTGAAAAGTAGTACCCGAACGTTGACGCCTAAATTCCAGTCGAGGTTCTAGGCAGTCCAGATAGGTCTATCTATAGGTCTGGAGGGCCATTTTTTAGCACTCCGGACGGTCAGGGTAATGCCCCCCCAAAGAACGAAGCCCGATCCGCTTTTTTGAGGGCCTCGGGGGGGGCCCCCGCGGCCACGGCTGGACGCAGCTTGAGACACTGGTCAGCATGGCGTCCAGAAGGGACCTGGGCGTCGCTTCAGAGCGAAGGGGGCCCTAGGCTCGCGCCGTGTCGACGCGGCGGCGTCCTCCGAGCGGGCCTTCAAGGGTGAACGCCTGCAGAGCCCGTTATGGGCCGGCATCGGGCGATCCAGTGCGATCGGCAAGCCGCGATCCTTCGGGGTTGAACGACCCACGGGGCGTCAGAGTCCAGCGCGAAGATAACACGGCACGAACATGCCGCAGCGGCTCCAGCATCGTTTTGCTCTGCAGGTCCTCGGGAACGCCATCGATCTTGCCGGGGCCTACAAGAAGAACTACAAGCTGGACAAGTCCGAGGCCGTCCTCCTCCGGTGCACGCGCCACGCGGAGAGCCGGAGCGGCGCGTGGATGGTCAAGTACCTGAACCACATATCGCAGGTGCGGATGAAGCAGCGCCGTAACGCGGAGGCGCTCGAGATGATGTACGAGATAGAGTCCTTGGCGTCCTTCCCTCTGGAGGAGCCCGGCGCGTCCGAGTTCTACGAGACCCTGTACAGGAACATGAGCTCCTGCCTGCGCAGCATGGGGCGCGAGGACGAGGCCGCGGTGTACTTCATGAAGATGGCGGAGGCGGCAAGGTATCGGCGGCGAATGTCGTCGGGGGCAGCTCTAGGGGGAAACGTCTTCGAGGTTCGAGGTCCGAGGTGATCGGACGTTTTCGTCGGTTCTCGGTGTTCGTCTGGCCTCGGGATGCGCCTGCCAGCAGCTGCGTCTCTGTCAAAAAAGTGTTTCGGAGGGAGTGTCCGGGTCGTCCCTCCCGGGCAACCGCAGGAGAGCCGAGTACTAAAATCCGAAAGCCAGGAGGCAATTTTAGCCTAAAATTGCCTCCTGGCTTTCGGATTTTAGTACTCGGCTCTCCTAAAATTATTTTAGGGGGCGGGATAGGCTCAGGAGGATCTTCTCGGAGTCAAGGTTCAAGGTTTTCGGACGTTTTCGATGGCCCTCGGCGGCTTTCCTGCCTCGGGGTGCGTTCTATAGCGGCTGTGTGCCTCGCCGAGAGCATTCCGGGGGTGCCCAGATCGTCTCGAGAGCGGCCGCCAGAGAGCCGAGGTGTGGTCCGAAAGCCCCGGGGCAGCACAAGAGGGGGATCGGCTCAGGGAGGTACACCTTAGCCGATGCTTAAGAAAACCCAAGTTTTCGGCCAGAGTCTCGATTATTCTTAATGTTTCATTGTACATCCCACGATTCGAATAGAGATTCTGGGTTTTTATTCAAATTCTGAGACTATGAATTTCTAAACCCATGATTTCTAAAGCATTTCGCAGGGTGTACGCATCGACCCCCGCTCGCCCTTGCATGGCCGATGGGGGCCCGAAAGCCCACCCCGCCCAGGAACGTGCGCTTGCGCTGTCGGGGGCCTGTTGTCGATCTGTCGGCGATGTAGCACGGATTCAGGCTCAGTGATTCCCCCCCCCTTGAGCTGGTCCCCCCAACGCTGCCCCTCCAGGTACCACAAGGCCTCCCTGGACTGGATGGACCTGTGGGACCTCGGCGTCCTCATCGCCAACCGCGCCTACCAGTCGGGGCGCTGGGCCGAGTTCCACAAGTCGCGCGAGATCATCGCGGAGGCGCTGCGCATGCAGAAGATCGCGGAGCCGCACGAGCTCATCCTGAGGGCCAAGGTGCTCAGCAACCTCGGCCAGACCTTCCTCGCCACGGACGAGCTCGAGGAGTGCGAGGAGCACTACTCGGAGGCCTACGCTCTATTCGACGCCACCGTCGGCAAGCGCTCGCCGCTGTTCGGCATGCAGGCGTGGGCCTGCGGCAACCTGCGCTGCGCGCAGGGGCGCCACCGCGAGGCGCTGCCGCTGCTCGGGGAGGCGCTGTACGTGGAGGTCGTCGGCGACGGCCTGAGCGTGTCCGAGATGGCCAAGCTGCACGACCAGATCCTCCACTCGCTCCACGAGTGCGGCGGCGACTTCTCCGACAACGACACCGAGCCCATGCTCGGCGGCGAGCGGCGGGGGGAAGGGAGAAGGAGGAGGCCTCCTGAGAGGGTGGCGGGGCTTCTCAGAAGCCCTCGCGCCCTCTGAGAGGTTTTCGGTGTCTTCGGGGAAGGCTCAGGACACTCCTCCGAAGGCTGGGGGACTTCTGAGCCTTCCGAGAAGGCCCGCCCCTTCTCACTTATACCCCCCGAGCTCGCCGCCGTCGTCCGGCGGTCGCTCGCCACCCTGGCAGAGGACCCGCGGTGGGAGGCGCTGGAGGACACCGTGGAGCTCGCGGCGCCCGCCCCAGCTGCCCGCCGGTCCGCTCGGCCCCCGCAGGCTCGAGGCTGGCAGTCCTCGGACGGGGCTGCGACGAGGCCGAATCCGTTCCACGGCCCTCCGCATCGCTCTCAGAGCACCCTGGAGCGCCCGGAGAAGGCGGCGCGCGGCGCCCCGAGGCGTCCTCCCGAGCCGCTTAGATCTCGGAGGCTCCCGATTTAGGGGGCCACACGCGAAGCCTACCCCTAACCCCCACGAGTTCTGAGGGGGAGGGTGGGGTTCGCTTCGTCTGGGAGCTCCCGAGCGAATCGAACCCCACCCACCCCCTCAGAAATCGTGGGGGGTAGCGGTAGGGTTCGCATGTGGCCCCCTACGATGGCTCCTCGCTCGACGCCGTCCTCGTCTTGGCTTCGTCTTTCGAGGCCGGGCGCCGAGGCGAGGGCCGCTCGGGGCTCGTCGGGTCCGGGCTCGGGGAGCCTGTGCGTGCCCTGACCTTCCAGGAGGGCAAAAAAATGGCACCCGACCTGAAAACCTATCCCAGAGCTATTCTACGTCTTGGTTTTAGGCTGTTTCGTTCAGTTTTTTTTTGTTATTAGGTTTTTAGGCCTCCAGTGCTAAAGAATAGCTCTCTAGAAGGTCAGGGTGGCCCAGGCTCGCCCTGGCCGGAGAGAGCCCCTCCCCCACTGAGGGGGCAGGCGCCGCCGCCCCGCTCCTGTGCGAGCGTTGGCTGCGCGGATGCAGAGGTGGCGGGGCGTGATGGAGCGCTTCGCTCACCCCGGCCGGCCCATACCGTCAAAAACCCTAATAAGGACGCGCGACTTTGCTCAGGGTACCGCTTCGCTCACCCCGCCGGCCCATACAGTCAATTATCCCAGTGCGACCCTACCTAGGAGTTGGAGCCCCTAGGAAAGCAGCATTAGTAGTAACAGTAAAGCTAAGCTAAAGCTAAGCTAAAGCTAAGCTAAAGCTAAGCTAAAGCTAAGCTAAAGCTAAGCTAAAGGACGCGCGACTTTGCTCAGGGTACACTTGCGTCCTTGCTCTTCCTTGCTCTTGCGTCCTTGGGGTTTTCGTCGTCCGCCGCCCCAGAAGTCCCAACTTCGGCTTCCAAGGGTCTTTGCGTCCTGACCGCGCGTCCTTATTAGGGTTTTTGACTGTACAGTCGAAGAAGAAACACCGCCATGAACATGAAGCTTTTGGCGCTGCGCGCGGAACTCTTTGATCCGCGCTCTGGGCCCCCCTGGCGGCGCCTCCGGCGCCGCCCCTGGCGCGCTCCGCGCGCCAGGGAGGGGGAGCCAGCGCGGATCCAATAAGTCCGCGCGGAGCGCCAAAAGTTTATGTTTCTGGCGTTTCTTTCTTCTTCCATACAGTCAACCCGCATACTAAGGATGGGTCCGTCCTTTCCCAGGGTACCCTTGCCTCCTCGCCTCCTCGGTGCATCCTTGGCCACTCTCGTTGGCCGCGCCCCGCTCGAAAAGCTTCGAAATGGGCGTCCAAGGCCCTTGCATCCGCATCGCGCATCCTCACGATACGGGTCTGCTGGACTGTCTCATCGCGGGCGGGGATCTCTTGGGACGCCTCTTGGGAGCGCGCCGGATGGACAGCGGAGAGCGCAGAGGGCCTGGCACTGGTGTCATTTGGGCATCTAGTGGCCTTCGGCACACTCGGGCTCAATGCCGAGGTGATAGGTCAGAAGCCGCTTGCTTGACTCTCGGGATCTCTTGGGATGCCTCACCGGAGCGTGGTGCAGACTCCTTGGGGGCCTTGGCGCCGCTTTGGCGCCTCTCAGAGGCCCCTCTGGGCGTCTTGGGACCTTCTTGGGTGTTTTTTTGGGGGTCTTGTGAGCCATCTTCGGTGTGCAGGCTCTTGAGGCCCCCTCGCTTTCTGCCTCTTGGGCCTCTCCTGGGCCGCGCCCAGGATGGCAAACATCTCTGTCCCGACCTTGCCAGCGTCTTGCCTGGGCTTCTTGCCAGGGTACGTTTTGTAGAGTATAAATGCTCAGAATTTCTCCGTTGGGCCAGCGAACTCACCGCTCCTCATGGTACGTTGCGCGACGACTCGAATCTGCCCCTGATGGAGGAATGGCCCGTTTTCGTCGTTTGTTGGTCGCCTGTCGGCGGTCGTCGGGTGTCGGTGATCCGTCGTCCTCGTCTTTCTTCTACTTCTTCTTCTTCTTCTTCTTTCTCTTCTTCTTTTTTCTCTTCTTCTTGTCATCTTCGTCATTGTCGTCGTCGTCGTAGTCGTAGTCGTCGTCGTAGTCGTCGTAGTCGTCGTCGTAGTCGTCGTCGTCGTCGCCGTCGTCGTCGTCGTCGTCGTCGTGGCCACGGCGTGGCGCTGAACCCCATCCTTGGCCAGATCCAGGGTCGTTTCGCCCCCAGGTGCCTTCTGGCAGCTGCGCCTCGCCGAGAGTTTTCTGGGGGTGCCCGGATCGTCTGGAACGTCCGCCAGAGGCTCGAGCTTTGGCCCGACAGCCAGACGTCTCCGCGTCGCGGAAAACGTGTGGCGGAAGTTGTTGTTGTTGGTTGTTGGTTGTTGGTTGTTGTTGCGGTTGCTGCTGTTATTGTTGTTGTTGTTGTTGTTGTTGTTGTTGTTGTTGTTGTTGTTGTTGTTGTTGTTGTTGTTGTCGCTGTTGTTGCTGTTGTCGTTGTTGTTGTTGTTGTTGCTGTTGTTGTGGTTGCTGTTGTTGTTGTTGTTGTTGTTGTTGTTGTTGTTGTTGTTGTTTTGGTTGTTGTTGTTGTTGTTGTTGTTGTCGTTGTTGTTGTTGTCGTTGTTGTTGTTGTTGTTGTTGTTGTTGTTGTTGTTGTTGTTGAACTCTAATTACTGAAGAATAATTATTGTTGATCCCCCCCCTCCGGCGGACATTGTATTTTTTCAATTGAAGTGCCCCTTCCGGGGCTCGCACCCGGTTTTTTATCAGGGAAAGTCGTGGGCATCAAACTGCGTTGTTGGCTCCCCGGACAACAACAACAACTGCTCCCGCCTGATACTTCCTCCAAATTTACTCAGGACCCCCGCCCCCGCCTGGGACTTCCTCGCCCGCCCGCTTTAAGCCACCGCCCGCCCGACCCGCCAGCGAGGGTCCGCCGCCCGACCCGTCCGTTGGCGTCCGCCCGCCCCGCCAGCCCGACCCGCCCCTCAGAGTCCGCCGCTCGACCCGTCTGTCTGGTTCGTCCGTTTGTTTACCTCCTCTTTTGCCCCCCTCCCCTCCTGCTAACCTCTTTCGTCCTCCATCCATCCTCCCCCCCTTGCCCCTTCCCTCCTCCCTCCCTCCCCCCACTCTTTTCCTCCTCGCTCTCCCTTCCTCCTTCCCCCTGCTCTTCCTGTTTTAGGGGCTGCGCCAACTACACGTGGCGAGTAAAAAGGATATACCCCCAAAGGGGTATGACCGAAGACGAAGAGGGTGGGTATCGAGGGTTTGGGATTTACATATTGAGTGACGCGCGCGCATATAAGAGCGATCAGTATTAAGATGATTGTTGTTGTTGTTGTTGTTGTTGCTGTTGCTGTTGCTGTTGCTGTTGCTGTTGCTGTTGTTGTTGAGATGCTCGGCAGCTGGGGGCTCTTGCCGGGCCCCCGTGCCTTCGGGGAACGTCGCGGGATGAAAAGCCAGTCCCGAGGACGGTGTCCAGACCTCTCGGGAGCCACGCGGCGGCAAAGCCAGGGTGTCGGATGCCGGGGTCCCGAATCCGGACGTCAGTCCCTCGTGGTCCCAGATCTGAAATCTGAGCGCTCGTAGTTCCATTGTTTCTACCCTCGCAGGTGACTTTTCTCCCCCAATCCCCGAGCTTCGCCGGAAAAGGATGACCTCTCAGAAAAAGAGGGAAACCCTGGGATACACCCCAAGGAGGCTATTCGGACGCACCGCTATCGAGGATGAACGCCCCCCAATCGTATATCCCAGGGTTGGGGCTCAAATTTTTTGCTTCATGCGAAAACCCCACGATGTCTGGGATAGGGGTCGACATATGCCCTGTTATACCCCTCGTCGGGGTCCTCCTGCCGCCTCAGGCACCACAGCTTACCGCAGCCGCCTGCAAACCTCCCCAGGCACCAACGCCTCGGCGCACGGCGCGCGGCGGCGGCAGCCCCAGAGCTGGTCTGCTGCAGTCGCAGCCCCTCGAGAGCCACTGTGGCCCCCTTTCGCCGTGGTCTGCTCCCGTGACGCCCGCGTCGGGCGGACACTGGCGTTGGAGCTGGCTGGGGTCAGTAGGGAAGAAACACACACACAGACACAGTTCATCGTCCGCTCCCAGGAAGATATGGGAAAAGATGGGACGTGGGGGGAAGACAAAAACCGAGAAAACATATATATATATATATATACATATATATATATATATATGAAGCCATGGGGAATCCTTTTCTTTGTGCGTATCTATCTGTGTGCCCCAGGGCCCTTACATGGGGGGCTGAGTTGGCCCCGCACTGGGTCCGTCCAGGAGCACGGGGGGAGGAAGGGACCCCCTCGCCGCCGCGGCTGGACGCGTGTCGAAACGCTGCTCAAGAGGGGTCCAGGGACCGACTCTAGGGGAATGAAGAATGACATAAACATACAACTCGGAGGTCCGCGCGGATTTCTCGGATCCGCGCTGGATCCCCCCTGGCGGCGCCTCCGGCGCCGCCCCTGGCGGCGCCTCCGCGCGCCAGGGAGGGGGGTCCAGCGCCGATCCGAGAAATCCCCGCGGTCCTCCGAGTTTTTATGTTTATGCCACTTTTTGTTCCCCTAGACTTGGCGAGACTTGTGCTCGTCCGCCCTTGTGCACCGATTCTTCTGGAGCCCATCCAGCGCAGACCCCGCGCAGACCCCGCGACCGCTTCCAACTCCGGCGACCGTTTTCGGGCTCCGAGTGCCGCCCTGAGCATCCGGCGGTGCCGACACCCACTCTGGTGGCTCGACCACTGCTGCTGCATGCTGCGGCAGCGCTGGCCCCCCTCTAACCCTCATCTGTTGTGCGGTCCTTCATTGGAGCCTCAGAGGATCCCACAATTCCTTCCGGTTTTGGGGATCTCGTCTGGATTTCGGCGGATTTGGTTGACATCTGGACGAAATCTCGACGGACTTTCGACAGAATCTGGACGACATCTGGTCAAAAGGGTGAAGAGTGGTGGTCGAAATTTGGATGCACTCTGGACTACGCCCTGGGAGTGCCCCGCCCTCTCCGTTTTGTTTTTTTTTCTTTGTTTTTTTGCTTTTGCTTCAAACGCACGGGGACGACGGGGACTTACACAAGATGGCGTCCCATCCTTCTTCTCCTTCGGAACGGTTCCGGCTCTTCGAAACGGGGGCCCCGCTGCAGCGTTGGCCCCATTTCGGGATCGGCGCTGCGCTCCCTCAGAGCGTGAATTACCTACCCCGCTTTCGCTTCCAGGCAAAACCAAATCCTACCACGCGACCCCCTCGTCAGGCGGCCTGACCAGCACAGGCCGTGTGTTGGCATGCTTGGTACTTCTTGGAAGCGAGGGTGGTCAAAAGCGAGGTAGGTTTTTTTTCTTTGTTTTTTGTTTTTGCTTCAAACGCACGGGGACGACGGGGACTTACACAAGATGGCGTCCCATCCTTCTTCTCCTTCGGAACGGTTCCGGCTTCTCGAAACGGGGGCCCCGCCGCAACGACGAGGACGAGGACGAGGAGGAGGAGGAGGAGGAGGAGGAGGAGGAGGAGGGAGGAGGGAGGAGGAGGAGGAGGAGGAGGAGGAGGACGAGGAGGAGGAGGAGGATCGGGATCGGCGCTGCGCCCCCGTCGCTCAGCACGGCGCCCTCGCCGCCGCGCGGGCTGCGCCTCTCCCATCTCCGTCCCTCCTCGCCGTTGCCGCCCCGCTCCTATCCCCTGCTCCGCCCTCCCCTGGTGCTCCTGCTCCCGCGCCTCCTGCTCCTGCTGCTCGTCCTCCTCCTCCTTCATCTTCCCCTCCTCCTTCATCTTCTCCCTCGTCCTCTCGTCCTCCTCCTCCTCCTCCTCCTTCATCTCCTCCCTCGTCCTATCGTCGGCGGCGAGCGAGCGGGGGAAGTGAGAAGGAGAAGGCCTTCTCAGAAGGCGGCGGGACTTCTCAGAAGCCCTCGCGCCGTCTGAGAGGTTTTCTGTGTCTTCTGCTTAGGACATTTCTCAAAAGGCCGGAGGACTTCCGAGCCTTCTGGGAAGGCCCGCCCCTTCTCGCTTCCCCCCAGGCTTGCCGCCAATCTTGCCCATCCTCCTGCTCATTTGCCACCTCCTTCTTCTATGTACATCGACAGCTTCCCTTTCGTATTGTGCATCGCACGATCAGGTCCTTTTGGGGGTTCCAGTCGATATGACACCCGCCGGTGAATAGAGGACAGGCCAGCGCAATGGGTAGGATGCCAGATATAGCGCGAGCACGCCTAGCTTGTTCCCCTTTCCTCTCTCTCTCTCGTCGTCCTCCTCCGCCTCCCTCCCCCGTCCCTCTTCCCTGTCCCTTTCTCTCCCCCCCCGCCCGCTTCCCCCCTCCCTGAGGTGCTCGCCCACAAGGCTGCCCTCCTCTACGCGGCCGCGCGGTGGCGCGGCTCGGAGGACGTCCCTTGCTTTTGAGCGATGGATCGCCGATTTCAGCTCGACGTTTCCCCCCGGAGCTGGTCCCCCGGGTAGCCTCCGGGTCGTAACTCGAGCCTCTGGCGGCCGATCGGGACGATTTGGGCACCCCCGGAACGCTCTCGGCGAGGCGCAGCCGCTGGACAGCATGGCGAAGGCTGGCGAGCCGCCCAGCACCGACGAACACATAGGAAAACCCCAAACCTCGACCTTGGCATCGCTCGGACGTGCGCCTTTTTCCTTTGGCGAGGACCCTCGAGGAGCATCCTCGACCATTTGGCGAAAAAACCACGCACGAAACCGACAAGCAACACAGGGAATGGAGGTCCGAGCGATGGCCAGCGACCTTTGTCCGAACCCCCCCCCCCCTTGATCCAGCCCTCACGTCCCCCCCTCCCTCCTCTTTCTCTGGCGGCGAGCGAGGGGGGGGAATTTGAAGGGGAAGGCCTGCTCAGAAGGCGGCGGGGTTTTCTCAGAAGCCTTTTCGCCTTCTGGGAGAATTTCCGTGTCTTCGGGGAGGGCTTCGCCAATTTCTCAGAGAGCCGGGGGGCTTCCGAGCCTTATGAGAAGGCCCGCCCTTTTCTCACTCCCCCCCCCGTGCTCGCCGCCGATGTCTCCTCCCTTTCCCCGCCCCCTCCCTCCCCCTCTCTGTCCATCCGTCCCTTGCCTGCCCTCCTCTTCATTCCAACTTAGCTGAATTAGCTGTGGGGCGCGTCGGCCACAGCCGCCCTTTGAGGAGGAGGAGGAGGAGGAGGAGGAGGAGGAGGAGGAGGAGGAGGAGGAGGAGGAGGAGGAGGAGGAGCTGTTGCTGGGTGCCCTGCGCTGACCAGGCTGGGGTAGAGGGCAGCGAAACGCGCCATGGGCTCGTAAAAGTCGCGAGGATGCAGGCCCCAGGCGTCCGGCTGCTGCTCCAGAGAGGGGTGGGGTAGGCTGCAGCGTCGCTCAACGAGGTGCTGTTTACCGAGCCTCACAGGGTGACGGTGGACCCTTTCCGGGGACCTTTCCCAATTCTGTGCCAAGTCACGGGTCCTAAGCGCCTTGTCATTGTCGTCGTCGTCGTCGTCGGCGGCGGCGCCGGCGGCGGCGTCGGCGTCGGCGTCGGCGTCGTCGCTGTCGTAGTGCGTGTTGCTCTGCTCGGGATTTTTTCAGGCAGTGACCGACTCCACTATCTTCTGATCCATCCACCCATCCATGCCTTCCTCTCCCCGCCACCATTCTCCCTCTTCATCCTCCTCATCCTCTTTCCCCCTTCCTTCTTTCTCTCTATCCTTCCTCCTCCCTTCCTCCTTCCTCTTCCTCCTCATCCTCCTTCCTCCTCCTCTCGTCCTCCTCCCTCCTTCCTCTTCCTCTTCCTCATTCCTCTGCGTCCTTCATCTTTCTCCTCCTCCTCCTCCTCCTCCTCATCCTCTTCGTTCTCCTCATCCTCCCTCTCCCCCGCGCTCCCGTCCCTGCCCCCACCTCTGCATCATTGCACCTGGAAGCCCACACCTTCTCCTGCTCCTTCTCCGTCCCCCTCCCCTTCTCCCCCCTCCCCCTTCTTCCTTCCCCTCCTCGCTGTCCCCCTCCTCCCTCTCCTCTCCGTCCCCCTCCCCCACCCGCCCCTCCTCCCCCTCCTCCTACTCTTTCTTTTTCCTTCTCCTCCCCCTCCTCCCCGCCTCCCCTAATACTTCCTCCTCATCCTCCTCCTCCTCCTCTCCCTCCTCCACCTCCTTCTCCTCCCTGTCCCCCCTCTCCCCCTGCCCCCCCCCCTCCCCCCCCTCCCCCCTCGCTCCCTCCTCCTCCTCCTCCTCCTCCTCCTCCTCCTCCTCCTCCACCATTCCTCTCCCTTCTGAACAACTCCTTCCTGTCGCACCCCAGGGCCAGTCAGAAGGGCGGGCCCGGCGTTTCGCCTGAGACTTCCTGATTATTTATGAGCCTGCAGCTTAAACACCGACAACAGTTTCACAGATGGCGGGCGGGCCGCTTTCAATATGTGGCTCTCGCCGTAGCGCAGCGCATTTTCGTCTCAACCTTTGCAAGAGGTCCACGAATTGAGGACGGGTGGTTTTCAACATGTGGCTATATATAGATATATCGCTTTAGCGCCGCGCACATTCGTTTACAACATTTGCAAGAGTTGCACATATTGAGGTGGTTTCACACGAGAGCACATTCGTTTTGGACATTTGTATGCGTTCCACGGATTGGGACACGTGGTTTTCAAATTGTGGCTCTCGCTTTAGCGCCGCGCACACGAGTTTCAAACCTTTGCAAAGCTACACGGATTGAGGGCGGTCCGTTTTCAAAATGTGCCTCTCGCCTTGGCGCCGCGCGCGCTCGTTCCAAAAAAGTGACATAGTTTCGCTTACGCTCATGGCTGACATTCCAAAAAACGTGTTTCGGAGCGGTTCAGGAATGTCAGGGAGCAACCATTACGTTGATTCGCGGTGTCGAAGTCTCAGAAGTAGTTTCTGGCACGATTCAGGATCGTCACGATGCAACAGTCGGTCTGCATCGTGGCTTTGAAGTCCTGATAATGCTGTTTTGGCACGCGTCAGGCTTTTCCCACAGTTGTTCTCCAACGGCACACTTCTTTCAGTGGAAATGAATTCTTGTAGGGGCCTGTAAAGGGAGCTTTGAGGGAGGGTGTATTCCAACATCGTTGCTGAGTCTTGGGTTTGCACTGCTCCTCCCCCTCCTCCTCCCGCCTCCTCCTCCTCCTCCTCCTCCTCCTCCCGCCTCCTCCTCCTCCTCCTCCTCCTCCTCCTTCTCCTCCTCCTCCTTCTCCTCCTCCTCCTCCTCCTCCTCCTCCTCCTCCTCCTCCTCCTCCTCCTCCCCCGCTCCCCCTTACCCCTCGCTCCTCCCGCCTCCTCGCCCCCTCGCCAACTCCCCGCTCCACGGGGCGCCGGCGCGGGAGGAGCACGAGGTGGCCAGCCGCTTCAGCGCGCGCGCCGTGGGCGTGCTGCAACGGCAGTCTGGCGACCAGGAGGCCGCTCGCGCGCCGGTCGGGGGGAGCTCAGGGAGAAGTCGGAACTCTGAACTCGGATGTCCGCGAACAGATGCCAGAGTTATGTCGGGCGTGTCCCCCTACAGGGGGATTCTCGAGGAAAAATAAAAAATACCCCAACAATATCCCCCAAAGGCCAAAACATACTAGAAAAATAGTCCCCAGACTATTTTCGGACTATTCTTGGACTATTTTGGGGGTATTTTTCATTTTTTGGCGAAAATCCCCCTGTAGGGGGACAGGCCCGACTTAATGCCAGAGGGCATCATCATCTTTGCCGGGGGTGTGCACTACGCTGAAGACGCCATGCAGACCAAGAGTTCAGAGAGAGAGGGGAGGGGAATTCGAGGTTCGAGGTAAGAGGAGAGCGTGTTCTGTCCTGGGCGAGAGCGGGCGTTCAGTGCGGGGGGAGGGGGGGCTGGGTTCGGGCCGAACGAGAGGGGGGGATAGGGAGAGGGGGGGGGTGTCGAAATCTGCTGCACGCAGCTGGTTGCGGCCCCACCGAAGGGCCCATCCCTCGATGCAGGGGCGCCTCCCGGCTCCGGGAGGCGCCGGGGAACTCAGCGACGCGAGCTGATTTTTACCCCCCCCCCCCCCCCCCTTTGCTATCCCCCCCTTTCGCCCGGCCCGAAGAGTGGGAGGTGGGCGGGGGGCCAGTGACGCCACGTTTCGCGCCGGCGCCGTCTTGGAGTGTCTAGGGATGGCCAGAGGCAGCGTGGAGGTCGGCACGAGTCGTGACGCTGCCTGGCTGGGGTGGGGAGGGGGGTGGCTGGGGCCGGTAACGGCCGCGGTCGCGATACAGAACGCTTTCTTAGAGGATGTTTTTTTTTTTTTTTTTGGGTTTTTTTTGTTTTTTTTTGTTTGTTTTTGTTTTTTTGTTTGTTTTGTTTTTTGTTGTATGTGTGTGTGTGTGTGTGTGTTTGCTGTTCGTTGTTTTTTTTCCGTTTATATGGGTCTCCAGTGGGCTGCTCGTTGCCACGGCTGGATCTGCCTTGAGATTCTGGCCAGGACGCGCTCCAGAGCCAGGCCTGGGATCGAGAACCAGGGATCGAGGATCGGGCTTGAACGCTTTTCTTTTCTTTTCCTGGCCGCTCGCGCTGGCGGGGGGAACTTTGGACGTTTCGGATTCGAGGTCTGCGGTTTCGGGCGTTTCGTCGGTTCTCGACGGTCTTCCAGCCTCTGGGGGCTCTCCAGCAGCTGCGCCTCGCCGTGGGGGGGTCCGACTTGGCCCCCCCCGACGACCGCCAGAGAACCCAATTGGGAGCCGAGAGCCATCCCCTGGAGGAGGAGGAGGAGGAGGAAGGCAGATACCTCGTCGCTCAGCGACTCGCTGCCCAACCGAGACGGCGTGGTACGTAGGGGGACAGCCGGTTCACCGCGTCACCGCGCAGTACTTCCCGACCGTTACCCCAAGGTGAGTGGACAAAAAGACCCAAAGGACTTACGGACCACATGGCCCCGCCTTTCAACCGAATGCACACTCCCATGCCTGGTGCCCATCTCCAGGTCACGGGCGCAGCTAACGCGCCGTTGCCACGGGCAAAGTGCCACGTGGCTGGTGCAAGAACGGCGAAAGCCGGTTTATCTCCCCCCACCCGCTGCATGCAATTGACACTGACAGTGTGCCCCGAGGAGTGTGTGGCGCTGACACCATGAGAACAGGTGCCAGGCCCCCACCCTCGTGGAGGAGGAAAAGGAGGAGGAGGAGGAGGAGGAGGAGGAGGA